TAGTTGAGCCAAGGTACAGCTAGTGACCCTCACAAGTTGTTGCTGTGAGGCCGCAATCGGAGGTGGATAACCGCCCAAAAGGACCGGGGGATGGTTACCTCGTTTTTTCTCGGTAACGGCTCTCTGGTGAAGATACTGGAAACCTGTCTTGATGATAGAGCCATCAACGGGTAGATTCGAGAGACAAGAGGAGAAAGCTTCCTTGTGGAGAGTTCGAATAGACATGAGCGCCGTCGCCCTTGGTGGTGTGCTTGCCTATTGGAGCGAACATTGGGCTGTAACATTTCCTTGGTTGAGCGGTAAAGTTAGCTGACAACAAAGCATTCGCGTTTTTCAATAACGGCTTATGAAATTACTCCAGCGGCTTTCACTTTGTGCGACTGAGACACGTGCATTTCGCTCGTTCTTGGCAAGCCGAAAAATCCTCCGGTTATAACCTTGACCGCTAGAGAATACGGTATGGTCATTTTATCCTACTTATCCCATTGACGATGCCTTTGATCGCATTCTTTAGCTGGTAATAAACCACCGCTTTTTATCTTCATTTTTAGGTCAAGCGGATACCGTTCCCCTACTCAACACCAGAACAATTCGAGGCTGCGGTTGAGCAGCCAGTGAGTCGTGAGTGGACCACTGAATCGACCCATAGGGAATTGACCAAGCCGAAAGTCGTGCTGAAGGCTGGGCGTGTAATAAAACCGATTGACAAAAGCTGTGCCATCCTGCGTGAAAAGGATCTTCTCCGACTCAAAACTGGCAAGAAGAACGTCTAAGCAGTGAACCTCATTATCTTCCTTTTTGGCCTGTACAGTACACTTTGAACATAAATGTTCTTGTAAAGAAAACGGTTATTCGGATTTAGTAAGTGGTGAAATCGTTGCCGTACACGAAGGCATCTAAATCTTGTCCAGAATTCTTAAGACATACCCTTTAAGCTATCATCAGGCTCTATCGGGTACTCTGAATTTCCGATCATATGTACCCTACTCGAACAGACTCGTGGCAAATTGAGTTAGAACGTTGGACTTCTAATCAAC